TCAACTTTCCTAGAAAAGTGAAAAAAATTTTCAAGCCAAACAGACCCTAAAAGTTTTTTTCTTTAATATTAGCACATTATTACAATGGTGCACTAAATGGGATTATTCTTCATTAATGTTGGACAAGCAATATGTCGGCCATTGTAGAGTGTTATATATCACGACGGCCCCCTACTACACGAGAAAGTCTGCTGTATCCCCGGGATACAGCAGACGTGGTATCCCAACCCAATGGGAAAACACCACATCAGTTGTTTTTCGGGTTTGGGATTGATGAAGTCTGAAAAAATTGTTGATGTGGTGTTTTTCCATTGGGTTGGGATACCACGTTGCTGTATCCCGGGGATACAGCAGACTTTCTCCTACTACACATTCACCTCACTCATCTAAGTTGGGTCCTTTGTTTGAGAGATTACTGTGGTCTACTTCGAGAGCACATTCCATCACAATATGGGAACAATAAAAGTTCCCAATACATGGACTGTACAACAACAAAATGGACATATGATTAGTTGTTCTAGGAATCTGATACTAAAAAATTTCATCAAGCTGCGATAAAAGAGAAGGAGGCTGATTGTGGACTCATTGGTGGGGAGCTTATAAAGCCGGTGTAAGTTGAACCGAAAGATTTCTCCCAGATGTCAACTTCAGTACCAGCTGCTAGACTGCCATTTTCCATGCCAAGCTTTTGTAACAGAGATGTAAGATATTCTACAATTTCAGACATCTGTGGTCGGAACTCCATCACAGTCTGCATTGTCAAGTTCATCAATCCATAAGAGAGTGAGAGTTAAGACACAATCTTAAGACAATGCTTCAGGATGTTAAACGTTAATGTGCATTTACCTTGAATAAGCAATTTCAGACAAATAGTAATTCCAAAATACTAATGAGGTATCAGACAATTTTAAACCCTGGCATTTTTCCATCCCAGTATCAATTATGATTTTGAGCCAACTTTCTAAAGGAGGATATCATTCAGGCAATAAAACTGATCATGGAATATATTCAGGAAACATATTGACACACGGTTAATAAAGCTTTCGAGTAGACAACTAAATCCAGTATTCTCACTGGCCATACCTGAATACAAAGTGAGATAATGTCAGCAAAGCCGGAGAGAGCCCTGGAAGAAAATGTTTCTCTAATTCTTGGATCAACCATTTGATCCAAACACGTGCTGTCATGAAGCTGGAGTGAAGCCCATTTCACCAGAGATTGCTCCCATTCTGGTCTTGAACTGAGTTAAAAAGAATAACAATAGTAATAAATTCTTGATAAGAGATACCACAATGTCTAACAGTAAGAGAAAGTGCAGCAAACTCTACCTATCAAATGGCCTTCTTCCTGTTAATAACTCCAAAAGCAACACTCCAAAGGCATATACATCACTCTTTGTGTTGTCACTTCCTGGTTGCCCATGTTCGGGTGCAACATAGCCAGTGTCAGCAATAGCAATTTCAGATGCCTGTTTGAATATATGTACGAATGACAATTGGTGAGTTTTCACTAATTCTTTCTATGTCGAGAAAACTTGCAATATTTAATTTTTCTTTCTACAACAGGTATTGAACTATTTGACAATCTGGTTATTTCAGTACATAACATACAAAAATTAGTTCAGAGTTGCAATAAAGAAAATATTTCTTTAAGCACTAACCTTAAGTTTCACAGAGTTGCTCATAAATGACCTTAGAATTGCTAGCCCACTGTCACATATGCGAGGCATAAGTTCTTCATCGAGTAAGATGTTGGCAGACTTTATGGTGCAATGGGCAACAGGAGGCGAGAATTTGGAGTGCAAATAGCTGAAAACAACATCAACTAAGTGGAAAACATCAAAAAGCAGAGATCGGAAAAATAGCTGGACTTTTCCGTTTCAGCCTCTTATTACTCAAAATTAGCTTCAGATTATCAGCCCTATTCAAATCTCTAATATGACTTTATTTTACTGTATGCCCGCAGATAGATACAAATTTTTGTTGGATTACAAGATACTGATGATTGTTGCAGGGCTTGATATAGTGATTGGTAAAAATGGATTCCTTGCAGTGACACAAAATTGGATCAATAAGTATGCACAATGGAACCAGATGGAGTACTTACTTCAAAGCCCGAGCAATACCAAGTGCAATACAGAGGCGAAGTCCCCAAGGCAGTGGCTTGTGGGCTTCATTATGCAGCGCATCATCAAGAGAAAAGTTTCTTACATACTCGTAGACAATAAGATGCTGTCCATTTTCCACACAATAACCAAGAAGAGTTATGATGTTGGGGTGCCTTAGTTGTGATGCTCTCCGAATGACATCCATGAATTGCTCTTCTTCACAGAATGACAATGATACCATGTTGATGTTTTTCACAGCCACAACCTGGGCAAAATGAAAAATGGTTGAAGAATGTCTAAAACTTGTCTTGGATTTCACTGTTAAAAGTATCTTAAAAGTAACAATGATGTCATGTGCTTACATGGCCATCAGGGAACTCGGCTTTGTAAACAGAACCAAGCGATCCCTCTGCAACAAGGTTCTCTTCACTGAAGCTGTTTGTAGCTAATTGGAGCTCTGCCAAAGTGTAAGCATTTGCAATTCTTGTCATATTATGTTGCTTCACTAAACTTTTTCTTCTCTTACACATTTTGTCTGGTCCAGTTGGTTGAACAGGAAGAATATGCCTCGTGGCAAGAGCAGATGAAGGGCTGATCGATGAGAATTGTAGGGCCTCATCTGGTGCAGTAGAAGGAAAATCTATAAATATGGTGATGAGGGGGGGGGGTGTTGGAAGTGAGACAGAAATAAGTTGTATCAGTCAAGCAACCAGTCAGAAATTCTGATTGATATCCCACAGAAGAATCAATGCAGAAATGCAAGCTAGATCCACTATTTAGTAAGAGTTTCCAAGTTGTATTTAAAAAATATATATACATATATACATACATACATACATACATACATATATATTATATATATATATATATCTTAAGAAAAGAAAAGGCGTATGGTATATGATCAACACTGAAACTAGGATAGGAGTAGGAGTAAAATTAGAAATTTCAGAAAATTGATAAGAATATTAACCAGGGATTGCAGTTGCTATAACTTGGTGGAAGAAAGAAAAGAAAAAAGGGAAGCATATTCAGTTAAAGGAAACTCTTTCTTGATATATATAGAGAGAGAGAGAGAACAAAACAAAGGAACAATAGAGAGAACCTCAGTCAAAAGACTTCATATGAGTATTGTAGTTTTCAGCTTGCACAAAATTCAGCAGTAGTTATCTTTATGATACTTTATGATACTTGCTGAATTCAGTGCAGACAAAAATACTTGGAACCACACTTGCAGTAAGAACATACTTTGAGTATTGAATAAAGACAATATAATTTTGTCATTGTAATTGAAACAAAAGTAAACATTTATGAACATCTTGGAACTCTTTTTCAGAAACTCTTATCATCATTTCAATTAAAAAAGGATTTATGCAAATGTCAACTATAGAGTTACATAAATCTCTGCATCAACATAGTGGTCAAATTGTTTATTTCACTAAGTCCAGTCACCAGAGATATCATAACTTGTTTTTTAGCATATGAGGAATTTATATTTCATATAAGCGAATGTTATGTGTCAACAAGGGTTCTCACCTCTTGCTGCATTGTCTGGAAGAGAGTGGAGCCTGTTACCAGTGCTATCCAAGCTGTTAAGCCTTTGTGCACGTGATCGTTTTATGTGGATTGCAAAGAGCAATGCTGCACCAGTGACCACCAGAATCACCCCAGACACTGTAGAACCTATTGCTCCAGGGCTCAGCCTTTTCTTGTTGGCTCCACTTACTTCAGGAGAGGGGTAGTCTTCAATGGCACTTGACTGAGTTGATGGTGGACCACTTATATTTTGCAGAATTGGAACATTAACCAAAGGGAAAGTCCAGGGAGGATAGTTGGACGCAATGTCAAACTTGTTTCCCCAAATCCTATTAAGTATTTAGAGTTAAAAGAGGAAAATACTCATTGCACAATACTGAATACAACTGATTCTATTGTTTATGCTAAAAAATACAAATGACTAGATCACCTACCATAAATTTGGAATTGACCGAAACTGCTCTGGAATAAGGCCACTAAAATGATTGTCTTCAATGTTCCTGATGACAGATATGTTTAAGGAAAGGATAAGGGAAGGGTCAGAGAGATAGTTGCAAAAGTGCTGCAGAAAGAATTCAAAACATACAGATCAGTTAACGGAAGCTCTGCCAGATATACAACTGACCCAGTAAATTTGTTGTTATGCAAGAACCTGCAGATAGACAGAATGCAACTTAAGGAAATTAACAAAAAAGATAGCCATCAACAGAGGATGTGGCAAGCACCAAGATGGATCAAGTAGTCAAACTCACAGTTTTGTAAGATTTTTCAGAGATTCAAAAGAATCTGGTAGATCTCCAGTGAAGTTATTATATGATAGATCCCTGTCATAAAAGATGATATTTAAAACTAGAATGTGTATAATTACCATTTGAATGCTATTTCCATAGGAAAGGAAGATTCTAAGGCAATATGCATAGGTTACTGCAAATAAAGCTGTAGCAATTTGGATAACAAAATGGAAAGAATATATAGAGGTTATTTCAAATAACAGCTGAAACATATTCTACCTTGAAGAGATTGTAATATGTACTTTTATATTTCAGCTAGTTCATTCAAATCACATGGACTCACTTCAGTTAAAAATTTGAGAGGAACACACACAGGCTGACTGTTTACACTCTGATATGAATATCCCCAAAAATATAAAGCACTCTTGATTCTTTTACTTTTTAAATAGAGAACATTAACTAGTAACGTAAACCAAATTCCATTGGTTATTCACTTCTTTTTCTCCATGGACAAACACTAATACCAGGAATTACCGACGGAGAAGATTCATAATGCCATGTTGTTTTCCTTTAAATCCAAAAATAAAAATTTCTTGGGTTGACTTTGTTTAAATTTCACAAACATTACAAGTCACATAGTAGAGGTATCTACTTTAGTGCTGTCCTCTTTACTTCAAATTCAAAGTAAAGCAGAGGAAAAGGATAAAAAGATCATACATTTCTTTTAGATTCTTTAGACCAGAAAACACATTGCCAACTGGTCCGGACAATAAATTGTGGCTTAGGTTCCTAAAAAAATGGAATTGTTAAGTGATTAAATAGTATAAAAGGAAAAAGTTAAGTATCATATCAAACGTAAAACCAACTCACAGATGCCGGAGATATGTCAAGAAAGATAAAGACTGAGGTATATATCTGGTCAAATTGTTACATGCCAAATTTCTGCATTCATTTGAAAAATACAGGAAACAATAAGTCAGAAGAGAAAAAAAAAAAAAAGAATAAAATTTCAGTTGAAAAATGTCCACAGTTCGTGGAATTTCATGCCATGTTGATACAATTATACAAAGGGACAGAACATATACAATAGACATCTTACATATGAGTGGCATTAGGGGGTAAGCGAGGTGGAATTTCACCTAGAATTTTATTGGAGCTAACATCCCTAACAGAAGAAAACAGCTTCAGAGTTAAACACTTAGTAAAGCTTCAGCAGATTAAGCAAATGCACTGGCCCAAAATAAAAAGGAACAAATAGAAATGCAGCAAAGCCACTAACAGGTGCTTCAGGTTATGGAGATTATCCAGTTGGCCTCCAAGAGTTCCAGTGAGATTTAGTCCTTGAATTTTACTGCAAAAGGTGAGATAGCAGGTTATTTTGGCACATGAGACATAATAGATAACCAATCAAAGAACGAAAAGATAATCCAAATATTCTACTCCATTTATCCAAATAGAGACTCTGTGCATTACAGGTGTATCACTGATGACCCAGAACATGACACTCCTGTTCAATGCTCTTCGCATGGATCTCCACTATCCAATTTCCATCCCTTCAGCTGAGGTGGGCCGTTCAGGGCATAGTACAAATCTTGAAGAGCTACAACTGTACAAGGCAAAATCCAGGGAAAAAACTGTATGATTTAGGAAAAATCCAAATCCCTAAATCTTAATCTTAATTCTATCTTCTTCTTTTTTTTTTTTTCTTTTCTTTTTTCAGGAAACCAAAATCCAGAACAGCAGGTGAATAGGTAGAACATAGAATCTTTTCTTTTCCTACATATTCTTGGCATCCAAACAGGGCTTCAGAGCACATAAAACAGCGAAATTCATAACGATCACCGATTAAGTTACTCAAATAGCATCAATTTCCACATAAACACAATCAATCGCTGCTTGAACCTCTAGAAAATCCAATCCAAACGAAACGAAAGGTTCGTATCAAATTACCGTCAAGCATATCCGTCGCGGCACCAGCCTCAAGAAACAAATTCACCGAGAAAACAAACACAGCTAGGTACAAGCGCCAGAACTGTTTGGACATTTTCTCAAGAATCTTGAGCTTTCCTGGAAAAACAGAGAAATTATTCGGTCGGTCACACGCGCAAGAATCGCCAATTGAATCAAAGAAAATAAGAAGAAAAGGAAAGGAAAATTCAAAGATTGAAGTTTATTTACCCGAAACCAAAGCACAGAGCTGAGAGTACAAAAGACTTAGTCGGCTTCTGGATTAGGCTCTTCCATTTTCCTTCGTTTTCTAGGCAACCAAACATAGCAGAGAAGTTTCTGGAGAGAAACTGAAATTGAAGTGAAGGAATGTTAAGAGGGCCGCAGTTAACCGGGAATTTAGGGAAAGTACACGTCGGCAGAGCCGTTAAGGTTGTTGCAGAGTAAGGGACACGTGGCAGGATTTATTTGGGGACTGGCAGAAATTGGCGCTCTTTTGCAATTACACACTCCCAGTTGACTTGAGTCTTATTTTTTTTTTATTTTCTCTCCTTTTTTTTTTCTTTTTTTTTTCTTTTTTTGAAAATGTAAAAATTAGAATGTCCGGTTGTTAAAAATGTTAAGGTATGTAATCGTAATAATGTGATATAGCTGCCTCCTTACTAGATTTAGGTTTACATTCCTCTCGGTGGGAGCCCCCTTTTCTTTTCTTCCTTCCCAACGGCAACACAAGTCCCTCCCTCCCTCTGTGGTGCACAACTCCCTCTCTTCTTCAATTGCACTACTCCAGATCTGATCAATTCCTTTAGCTAACTATGTTTGACCGAGGAAGGGGCTTAAATCATGCACATGAAAAGCATACTTGAAAGAGGTTTGATTCTATCATTGACGAAAAACGGTTGGAAAAAATGCCGTAACGAAATAAAAAATAAAAAAGTTCTTGTGAATAAAACACCTAAACAATAACAAAGAATTATGAAACAGGTAGCTTTGTCAATTAATATTAACAGTTAGTGATAAATGTGATGTAACCAACCAAGTGAAATAAAAATGAGTGGTTTTAACCAATCACTTAAAAAGAAAATAAAATAAGCAAAATAAAATGAGTGGCTTAACCAGCTACTTAAGAGGAAAAATAAAGTAAAATGACAATACCAAATTTTACGTGGAAAAACTCTAAAAAAATATTGAGAGAAAAAACTACAAGACAAACTCCAAAAGGTATTTCGCTATTCGGTAAAATTGTATAGAGTATAAACTCAAGTATTTTTCCTCTCTTAGTGTTTCCACTTCTCTAGGATATGATTACAATCCTGATAAACTCACAATTTAATTCTCAATGTACTCTTTCTATGGAGTACACTTACACCTAAGCTTAATACCTAGCTCTCACCCTTTTTTTTTCCTTTCACCCGGAGCTCTCACCTTAAGAGCGAGCTCACTCACTTTGGTATTGCTCTCCTTGCTTGCTTGCTTGTTGCCTTTGCATGCATAGGCATTTATAAGGAAAAACCAATTTCCCATGCATGAATTTCTTCACTTCATTAAATGAGTAAAGTTGCAATAGTTGAAATAACCATGTAAGACTTCAACAAGTGCTACTATAGGTGTAGCCTTTTACTATAGGGTGAGAGATTTACCACATGGAAAAGTCCATATGTTGACATAGGTTGGAAGCTTCAACAAGTGTTGGCCCTCTTCCTTGAGGTTATGTCTCTTTGTTATCTAGCCAAAATATATAGCGAAGAGGAAAGACTATGCCCTACAAAAGAACTGGGACAAAATAGGAAGAGGTTTGATTCTATCACTGAGTAAGAACAAAGAGAGGGAAGGGAAAAGGAGGTTGCATCTAGAAGAACTCAAAGATGGAAGGGTGCCTAACATTCGTCTTGATGACTCAGGCACTACAAGAAGCAATGTAGGTGGATGTTTTTCATCAATATGTGGGTTAGATATTAATCTGAGTTTGAACAAAGTATTGTAGTGCTGGGAGACACTACACTACCAAGTCACCTAATCTCCTGTGCTAAGATTCGATGGTAGAATAAATGTAATTACTACTAACGAACCGAAAGTTTTAAAGTAATCTTTCTATATCTTTATTTAGCTCCAAAGTAGTGGTTAATTGTCCTATTTGTAAAGAGCAATAGCTGTTTATATTGGTGTCATAAGTCATTTCTAACTTATTTATACTTATTACACATCTTATATAGTAAGATATAATCTGTATTATAATTGTTTCAATTATTAATACAACTATATTTTTTTATAAAAAAAAAACAATATAATATATATGATTTAGGTGGAACCTACACTACTTTGTGGACAAGATTAGAAGTCTTAATATCTTTAATATTAGAACATCCTAATTTTCTGAATTTTTGCTATAAAAAAATAGTTTTATTTTTCATGAAGAAACAAATACAAAAGAAATGTATATACGGTATACCCCTATTTGGCGCAATGATTGGAATAAACATACACTTGCCTTTCTCCTGAATAATACTGAAGAACAATGGTAGGATTGTGGCTGTTGAGCTGTTCTGATCTTAATTCTTGCAATGGAGATTGGAAGAGAAGGGGATGACAATATGGGAGATATTCGTTATTTAAGTTAAAACAAATTCCATAAGCCCCATTGTCTTATGCAATGGCGGAGACAATAGGCCCCCCCTAAAATATAGGAAAAAAAATATGTTAAATTTTAAAGTTAAATAAATTCAGTATATATATTTATTCATCTTAAAAATTAAATAAAATGTATTTAGTCAAACATTTTAGACTTTAAAGAGAATAAAAGTTGTAGGGCTTGCCATTATACTATTTTAGATAATTAAGTCCATTTAACTACATATTTTCCTTCTTCTATCCGAACTATTGTTCAATTAGCATTATGTTTTTTAAATTTTAAACCTAACAGATAATAATACAATTTCTCGAATTCTTTTTTTTTTTCCTAAACAAGAGTCTCTTTTTAATTGGATTCTTAAAATTTGCGTAGATTGCAGTCTTTAAAATAATACTCTAATATCTTTGAAATCAAAAAATTTATTGTATTATATTAGTTTTTCAAAAAATCTATTATACGGTTATTTGTAACTATTGTTTTGTGGCAAGGGTAGTAATATAGAACAACTTTTTTATACAATTTTTTACACAATTTTTACATATATTATTAAATAAATAAATACATGTAATATCACAAATTCTAAATGAATAAAAAAAATCAAATATATAAATAACACTTTAAAAAACTATACAAAATAATTATTTCTTAATTATTTTCCTTTGCAATAATTATTATTCTAATTTTTGTACCATTACTTAAAAAAATTTAAATTTTATACTCTTAAATTGTTAAGTTTAGATTTGTTTAGACTTTAAATTTTACTGTATTATTTATTTTACCAATACATCAAAAGTACAATTGCATAAGACTAAACGAACAAGTCAAAAAGATCATAAAATAATATATTAGTTATAACTTTTGACTAGAGGTGCATGATAACCATAAAATAAATTTTGCTACACTTGAATTCCATCAAGCAGCTTAATGGTCGCGCGTCTCATTGAGATCGGTAAGTTGTTTACCAGATTTGGGGATCGAATCCCCAGTTACTAACATTTAACAATACTAACCTACAGGGGCGAAGGCAGAAATTTTTTTCAAGAGGGCCAAAATACTAAAATTTTCAAAATTCAGAGGAGGTTAAATAATTTTTCATATACTAATTTGCAAGATTTTCAAATTTCAGGGGGGCGAGCGCCCCCTCGCACCCCCTGACTCCGCCACTGCTAACCTATTAACCATTGCCCTTATCAAAAATAAATAAAAAATAAAAAATTTTCCTACACTTTTGTTTTGTTTTTTATTATTATTGTCTCATTTGACTTTGATTTTTAAATTTTTTGGATTTAGATGATTTTACATATTGGGTTCTATATATTAGATTCAATTCATTAAGTTTAAAAAGAAAAAAAAGGTAATTTCATCTCTTTTTCCTTAATGTTATAGTAATTCTATTGTCAGACATATTCTTACATTGTTATTTTTCTATTTTTGTGTTAATATATATTTGTGACTTACGCCCCCTCTATCGTTAAATTCTGGCTACGCCGAAAGTCTCATGTATTATGGGTCATGACCTGCCATTAGTGGCGGAGTTCGGAATTTATCTTAGGCGGGGTCAATTGCAAAATTATAAAAGAAGAAAATTAAAATATCAAATTACATTTTTAACTTAAAAACATTGAAGAAGATAGATTTTGCTAGAGTTATAACATACAAAAAGAGTTATAACATACAAAAAGAGACTAAGACTTTTATTATAAAAACTAAAATCACATGCCTTAAGTTTATAAAAATTACCTAAAATTTATGTGACTACTCATAAATTTTAGTTTCGAACAAAATCATTATTACAAAATATTAATATAAATTAACCAATAAAACTAAGATGTTTTAAAGATTTTTTTTTTTTTTGCACATTAAAGATTAATTGCACATTATAGAGGTTCATACTATTGTAAATCAAGATTGATAACTTAGTGGGTATTATATACCAATTCAGTCAAATTTTTATTAGTGAAGATATTTTAAATAATTCACATACCAAATTCTAGTCATTTGTATTATGAAGATATGATTAGATTTCATGATCCCATGCTAATAGATAATTTTCAATGAAATTAATTATTGCATTTGTACCCAAATTAATTCTAGTCATTAGCAGGGTGTAATCCTTAGTTATGGGATAAAATAGCCCACGTGATACAATTCTTAATAACCAATTAAAATTATGACAACAATCAGAGATATTATAGAAATTAAAATTTTACATTATTTATAAGTAGTGGTTTTCTACACTAAAAAACAAAACTTACCATTCACCTATAACCAACTACATGTACAAAATAAAGAAAATTTTATCTTTTCCTTAAATATTGTCAAAGAAAAATGAAAGGTGAAACATAATAATACAAAGTAATTTTAAATTTTTTTTTTGTAGAGATACTATGTTAACCATTAAAGCCAAATTTAACTGAAATTAAAACAAAACCAAGAGATATAATCTAATAATTTCCCAAATAATTGATAAATTCTTATTTTATATTTAAAATCTTAAGGTCCTATTTATATTTTTTAAAAGTATAGGTTGCTAATTAAAAGTTTTTCAAAAGACCAGGGGGGGCCGTGGCCCTTGCTGGTCTATACGTGGCTCCGCCACTGCCTGCCATTTGTTTTAGAGCAGTGCTAGGGGCACTCGCCTCTTGCACTCTCCGGCCAACACTTTCACTCTTATTGGGCCACGTTATTGTCGTTGGTAAGAGGTTGCGGTTCCAAGCCTGAACAAGCTTACGTGGGCCAATGAAACGGGAAGTGTTGGCCGGAGAGTGCAAGAGGCGAGTGCCCCTAGCACTTCTCTTTGTTTTATTATGAATCAATGGAAGCACTAGTTTCCAACATTAACTAAACTGTACTGAATCGTGCCGCTTCCACTGGCTACCTGAGGTGGTTGAGCTTTGTGCCAGATAGATGGTGCTGCACAATCTTGTCACCTTAATGCTGCTTACGAATCTGGAGGGTTAGCTATCAAGGATGGTACAGTGATTGTAAACATTTATTTAATGAGCTCCCAGGTCGAGGGAAGATGTACAAAATTGTTGTAAGTTGTGATGCATGAACCACCTGCTTCTCTGCCTCTGGTAACACAGAATGTTAACAATAAACCTGTGCATACTACATTCCCTGCAATCTTGTTCAGCAAATCAGATATCCAAGTCAATAAAGATCAGAATCTGCAACCACCATAAACTTAATTTACAACCTGTTTGCAACATTACATTCAAAAGTTGAAAGGCATGCCCAAAGCCAGGCAGCAGTAGTCAGTTACAGCAGGTTTAATTAGGTTAACACCTAATCATTTATTTTCAAATACTAACCGAAGCCAAGGAAGCATGAGTCAAGTGCTCATCCATACAAAATATAAAATCACACGCCCTAAACAAGCCACCAAGGTAACAATATGTGCAACAGAGAGGCATATTGTTTAAAGGGACCAGTGGGCGTGCTCGGTTGAGGAATCATAAGCCCTTGAGTACTCAAGTTCTATGTAGTGCCTCCGGCTTTGCTGAGACAACTCAGGCCCAGCAGGGTACTGGTTACCAATCGGCTGAGACATTTGTCCCAAACATAGGTTGGGGACCATCTCATGTGAGCTGCTACCAGCATCATTGCCCTTGAAACCCCAGGAGGTATTGGGAAAGTTATTAAGAGCTGCACCACCATGAGGCGGTGCTGGTTGAGCAACAGAAACACCTTCAGCATTCATGAAGTCGTTCACAACAAGCCCAGAGGTTTGGTTTCTGGAGCCCCATGTTTGATTTGACAGAAGAGAGAGAGCACAGCTTGAGTCAGCTACTGCTGTGAAGCATTCTCCTGGAGAAATTCCAGGACTGGAGAAGCCAGTCCCACCTGCTGAACCTTGCAGGAAAAGTTCAGATGTTGGATTCTCAGAGCTGCCCTGCCATGGATTTGGAATAGGCCTTCCTGCAGTAGTGTTGTGATTACCACGTACCAGCTCAGGTGCTCTTGCCGTTGGCCATGCATCCCTCCCAGAATGCCTTGGGTAGGCTGTGAAATCAACCATAAAGCCTCCACTTCTGCTGCTGTTATCTGTCATTATATACATTAAGCAAGTGGAGTCAGGTCTCATATCTTATTACAGCCCTGACACGGTTTCAAAATTGAAATGTAATCTTGAAATCTAACCACTGAAAGATGAAGAGAGCCTGCCATAGCGAGAGGGAAATAAGGAGCCAGGTGGTGGCTTTCTTCGACGCTCATTGTGTCCAGCTAGGCGCCTACGGCAGCTTCTTTTTCCTTGGTCAAATTCAGGAAGCTGATGAAATCTGGAATAGACTACCAAAAAACTTGTTAGTTTTGATACATGAAGATCACATAATTTCACCAATTACCTTCATAGAGATCTAACCCATTACATAAGACTAGATGAACATAAAATTAAGCTTCCCTCATCAGGAAATTGCATCTCTAGGACAGCAAGCATGGCATGGTTTTTGTGGTCCACAGGAAACAGGTTCACAGTTCCACAATTCTCTTTTATTATTGACTTCCGAGCCCTTAAGAAACAGTCCTCAGTCCCAGGCATAAACAGATGCCATTAATTTGTTTTTAGTTATTTATTGAAGAGGTAAAAAATTGTATCATTGAAGTTTTAGAAGCTGTAGAGGCAGGAATGGGAAGAAGGCTTCCATATGTATATGCTCATGGTATCACATAATGCCTTGAAATCAATCTTATAAAGATCTCAATTGTAGTTATACTAATTCTCTTATTTAATTCAACATGTTTCAAGACTATGCAGCATATTCACTCAAGATCTGTAACTAGAATGCACAGCAGATATGATCTTAAGTGTCAAATTTTCCGCATGTAAAAATTTATAAATATGAAGTTTCCACTGTACAAATGGAGGACTCCAGCACAAAAACATGGGTTGAGCAACAAAAGGCACAAGACATAAGCTTTGGCTTTGTGTGCCCTCCAACAGATGGCTGAGATTGTCAATACCAAAAGTCTAAAATCTCATCATTTCAAGAAAAAAGTTACAATCTAGTGCAGCAGCAAAAGCTCTTCGTAAACTACCAAAAGTGGCATGCTATAGTGAAAGATCAAATGCAAAGGACCAAAGGCTATCATTTAAATACTCCAACCTAAGTTACATGCAGTAAGCTGCACATGCTTTATGCTGTAGCGCATTATAGTTACCATACTATATATGGATAGGAGAAAAGGACTGTATCCATGCTCAAAGAGAGAAGCACCATCAAGATAGCAATTTGAAAAAAAAATTACAAGCAGACTATCAAATCATTACGGCAAACTAGGTGCACTTTTGATACATTCATATCGAGATTGAAGTATCTCATGCTAACATATGGAACTTCCAAGCCCTACTAAGTTATATAAAAAGGAAAAAAAAAAGGACCTCCGACCAGTCAAAGTATTATGAATTATCACTCATCAACAACCTCCTACCAGTCAAAGTATGAGGTCCAAGGTTCATGTTGAAGAGTCCGTGGTGAAATTGGGCCCATTGAAGAAATCAACAGACAACAACTTTCAACGTTGTTGGGTTTGATAACTGAAAAGTTAGCATAATAAGATTCCAAAATCACAATTTTTTTTTTTCTCATTCAAATTATAAGACCTAGATTAACCAACTGCAAGGAGCAAACAAGGAAAAGTCTCATGAGAAAATTTTCCAAAAACTGTAAAAGCATATATATAACAGCACGGAATTATGCAGTGGGATAGAATTACGGAGTATTATTAAGAAAAACAGCATAATATTCATAGGGTAAAGAAAGAGACAGTTCACACAAACAGAAAGTATGAACACAGCTAAACAAAAGCAACAATGTTCCTGAAATTCAATAGAACAAGCACTCCACTAAAAGAGAAAGGGTAAACCAAACCAAAATGAAAAACCTCCTCTACAAAGACTTACATAACTCAAGAGGTGAAATAAAATTAAACCAAAAAAAGCAAATTTGAATAACATAAACATTTACCCAAAACGTACCTAATAAATCCAAAACAGCATCCAAATCAAGAAACACCAAATTTAGAAAAACAATCTACGAACGATAAAAGCAAAAAACCCGTAACCCCAAACGAAACTTTAATAAATGAGAAGAAAAAAAAAAAAAAAAAGGAAACAAAGAAAGAGGCTAACCTACTGCACTGCTGACAGAACCTCTGTTGGAGACCAGCAACAATGACCATAGATGACTTAGAGTGCATGCCACAAACCTTGTGCCTTGAATAGTAAGCCTTAGCATCAGTCAGATCCGCTTGGCACCCTTCCACTTGACACCTGGGAGGCTGCGCACCCTGCACCAACCCACCACCGCGGGTCCTCCTACCCGAACCAGATGAGGAAGACCCAGAACCAGACTTGGGTGGAGCAATCCCAGCACCACCAGCACTCACATCATCCTTAAAGTATATTTTTTGCCCAAATTTCAACCCGTTGGGTGACTCAGTGAAGGAGTTGGAGGAGGAACCACCTGACTGATCAGTCATAGAGCCCGAACCCATGGAACCCATTTCCGTGAGTGGTTCCTATTGCCCAGTCATGAGGGTTTTGTGGGTCATGAATTAAGGGGAATGTGCTATTTTATGTGGTTTTCTGCTTTTCTTAGTTTAGTCTAGTCTAGTCTAGAGAGAAAAGTAAAGCAAGGAAGGGGAGAGAGAAGCAGAGTGAAAAATGGAAAGTGGAAACCTGACACTGGTACTGGCCCATGCCAGCGAGGGAAGCATAGTACACTCAGAAAATTTGTCTGTCACTAAAACAAAAATAGTAAAAAAAATGGAGAAGAAAAGGGGTAAAAGGTGAAGAGAAAGAAAGTTGACGCAGGGGTCACATGGAAAGAAAGAAAATTCAGGGGTTGAGAGAGAAAAAGAAAGGAACTTTAGAATCCGGAGGAGTTGAACTGTTGAAGGGCTGTTTTTGCCCTGTTCTGCTTGACTCTTTCTACTTTCTTCTATGTATGGTCACAGGTTTTGCTCAAGATAAAAGAAAATGGCTTTTCCCTCTTCTGCTGTCTCATGAGGAGATATGGGAGTCCATATTCCTTCAAAATCTTTAATAATTAAAACCTTTTTTGAAAGGTACAACTGCAATCCATATTACAAGTACTAGAATATTTGAATTGAAATAATTACTATATTACAAATCTTATCTTACAAACTAATTATTATTGAACTAAATTACGATCATGTGATAAATTTATTAGCTTTTGTTCAATAACTAAAACCTTAACTTAATAGTTAAGAAACTTCAATTTATGTGTTAGGTTTGGTGATTTTATAACTCCACAATTATGCTCAAGGTATGATTGAATAACAAACTTGGTTACAATACAATTCTTAATGAAATGCAAACAAGTTGGAATATAAAAAGAAAAAGGGTAGGCAATATTCCATTTTTGATATTTTCTTTATTTGCAATTTGAGATAAGGAATATATTATCTTTTTTAAATATATTCAAGTTAGTTTTAAATTTTAAATTTAAGATTTTTATTTTAAAACTTTGATACGTGACTTGTGTGATTATTGTGTGAGTATTCTGCTCAGACCATCAGAATTTAAATCCCCTTATTCTCATTCTTCCCTCCCCTTTTCCCTAATTCTCCTAATACAAATATATATATATTTATTTTAGATGCAATATGTTGAAATTTATAATAATACTGTTAAATAACTAGAGAAAAGGAGAATGCAAGAAGAATAAGAAAATATGAGGAATTAGAAAAAAAAGAAGTGGATGGAAGAGTATTCTAGTATACTTTGCACTTCCCTTTTTTTTTTTTTTTTCAAGTACTAAGGAGCAATGACTTATCATTAATTCAATCTAATGGCCTTAGGCTTTACACAATTCACTATATTAAAAAAAATGGTGCTAATTGCACATATTTAAACAAAGGGGGTAATATGAATTTTGTCCAAAAAGAGAAAATAAGATAAAACTGTCACTTCATCTCCTATGCAAATGGTCATCCTCCCATAATGCTTAGGTACCCCATCCATCCATCATCACATCCTCTTCTAGTCTTCTTCATTTCAAAATCATATTCTATTCAAATTTGAAGAAATAAAAAAACAAGGGGAAGTGACACCTTTTTGGGAAGTGGTGGTCTCGGCCAGTGTGACTCTAAATATTAGTTTATTCATTTTGAGACTCATAATGCAATGGTTGAATTTAACGGTTCCATTTTTCAGGGTACCTTTTAGGTTCCAAGTATTGCAGCAACCATTATAAAAATTTGGATTAAAATTTATTTATATATAAATTTTATATATTATATTTATGTAAAGTTTTAATAAATTATTTTTTATTTTTAATAATTAAAATTTATTAATTTTATTATATTTATTAAAAATAATTATTTTTATTTAAAAAAAAAAAAAAAAAAAAAAAAAAAAAAATTTATAATTATAATAAAACTTATATAAAAGTAGTCTTTTGAAAAAAATTTAACTCGTTTGGTTTGTTTTTAATTTTATTTATTTATTTATATATATTTAATAATTAATATCATGTTCACCAAAAAAATTAATATTACATTTATATTATATTTAATAAATTTTAATTTTTATAAAAAAAAATTAATTTTAAATAATTATGATATATATTGAGAATCAAAAACTAAAACTATATTAATCGTAACTTTAATTTTCTAAAGACATGAAATTAATGGATCTTTCTTTCACGACAACATAAAAAATAAAATAAAATTATTTGTGAGATATACATAAATGAACTGAAAACTAACAAGGGGTTGGATTAAGTGATAAGCGATTTATTTCAGTTTAAGTAAAATCTTGAGTTTGAGACTTTGTGTAGACAACAATTTTCGTTAGAAGACTCACTCATCATTTTCAGGTACGCGACGCGGATGAATCCGAAATTAGTCGGGATGAAATTCCCGTTACCAAACGGAAACCCAAAAAAAAAAAAAGAACTGAAAAAAAACTTGTTAATCATTTGAGTCATACATACCAAAAGCTAAAGATTTCAGAGAACACTGTTGTGTTGAGAGACTAGGCATTGGCATACCATATCTCGCAATAGATTTTGAGCAGCAGATGCACATGAAGTTTGTTGGCTGGTTCTGCTTTCCATTTTGAGCCAAAACTGGCAGTTCCCTGTGTATTGGAAAAAGAAAAAACTTGATGTCGTAATTCTTCAAAATGTACCCTGTTTGGTTTGTTTTAGTTGGGCAGTTTTGATCTGGTTACTTTAAGCAGTACAGAAAAGCAGAGTTGTTTTTTAATTAATTTTTTTTTTCCGTTAAGGAAAAGGCAGAGTCTTTTGGTTTCCCATCATTTAGATTGGGGATAGAGCTTGTTAGGGTAATAATTACCTGTTTAAAAAAATGGAGCTAAAGTTGTCCCTTTTTTATTCCCTTCGTACTCAATTAATTCCTGTTCCTCTCCATGTCTTTTTCCAAATTTTAGTTTAAACAATTGGGACATTTTTCAACTAATTTTAATATATTTTAAAATTAATTTTTTTAATTATTTTATATAAATTCATGATTTAAAACTTACGAAAAAAAATTTTCATGATTATTTAATAAAAATTCATTATTCAGATCATGCAATTAATTAAGCAACTAGAAGATTAGACCACACTTGATTGTGTACCCATGTTGACAAGAGGAATGACACTGAGCTCGGATTTTGCATTCAAGAGGTTAGTCTTTACTAGCTTGCAATTTTACTTTCAAAGTGGAAGGAGGATCATAATTAGGAGGCACAACAATTCTATTAGTTTGAACACACTTCTACCATTGCACAAAAGTAACACTGCATAATTTGCTCTCCTCTGAGTTCATATGGCTCTCGTGAACCAAGAATTAGCAATCTAACCACAACCATTTATCCAAGCTCTGAAACTTCTACGGGCAGGTGGCTTCATTTTGTTTGTTTTTGTTGTTCCAGCATCACCTTAAGCTGCTTGCCTTGTTCCTCAATCAACTGCTGTAGATTCTTCTGTATCTGCTACAGAAACACAAGAATTAGTTCACTGTTGCAACCAAGTTTTCTGAACTTTCCTGTTAGCTAACTTCAACAATCTGTTAAATTTCTCATCAGATGTAAACTAGGGAACGGGGGTGCCTGCAACTTCCAAACAAGCAAGTATGGGGAATTAAGGCCAAACCTCTAACTGTTCTT